CTTAGGAGTGAGGCCCGTGGAGGGCTGGGGGATCGTGGAGGGCTGGGGTGCGGTGCACCCCGCCCTGTGGAGGGAGCTCGGCCGGACGTCTCAGGAGGGTGGCTGGAGGGCAGTTGGGTGGGGAGGAAAATGGGGCCTCTGCAGCCTCGTTTGCCCTGAGATCCTGCCGAAGACCAGAGCCGGGCCCCATTCACGCCTCACTGCCCGGTCTTCCCGTGAGGGCCTGGGCAGGGTCCAGCTCTTCGTCCCACCCCAGGTTAATCAGCAATAGATTTGCCTCCCGGCGTCTGTGGTCTGCTTTGACCTCCGTCTTCTCCTCCGCCCCACGGGGTGATGCCTCTCTGCCTTCACTCGTTTAGGGTTCTCAGTGCCCCCCACATGCTGTCTGCCTCACCAGAGATGGAGTGGCACAGGGGGCCTCTGTACTGCATCCTGGTGGGGCTGGGAGGAGGCTCCTTCCTGGAAGGCTACCTGGAGGAGGTGGCTGTGCTTGAGTGGATCTTGGTGGTGGAGAAGGGAAAGGGGAAGCCGGGAGCTGATGAAGGCTGAGGGGCGGACATCAGGGCTTGAACCCCGGCTTGGAGCAAGGCAGGGCAGTTGAGGAAAGGGGGCCGGGGGTGCCAGGGCTCAGGGGGGACACGGGCTCTGAAGACGCAGAGTATCACGGGGGTGGGAAGCAGCTGGGGTCCAGGCTCCCCAAACTCCATCCTCCCCCCGCCCCCCCCCCCCCCCCCCCGTGGGGCAAGGAGCCGCCCCCTCCCCTCCCCCTGCCGCCCCGCGTGACTCCCCACCCCCCACAATGGCCAAGGTCACCGTCAGCTGTTTCCTTTCAATTAGCAGCAGGAATGTTCCCGGTGCTGGGCTCGGCGCTGGCCCGGGCAGGGACCCCCTCGTTCTGGCTGGAGCCGCCCCGGCCGTGGGTTCTGGAAGGACCAGAGCGACCCCCCCATCACACGCGCGCGCACACACCCCTCCCGCCCCTGGCGGGCCGCCCTGCTCGCTGGGTGACCTTGGCCATTGCGTAACCTCTCTGGCCCCTTCCAGCAGCAACGCCCCGCACCGCCGAGGCCTCCGCGGGGCTCCGGCGGGGCCTGGGCCTCATTAACTCATCCCTGGAGCCGGATTATCTCACGCGCTCCAGACGACGCCCTCGCCGGGCCCCGAGCCGCCCACAGCGCCACGCGCCCGCCGTAAAAAGCATCGCGCGGGGACGGGAGGCCGGTGCGCGCCGGGGTGGGCGTCGGGCGGGAGGCGCGGCGCTCCTCGGGCTCTGCGCGGCCGCCGGGAGCCAGGGAGGCTCGAGACCCAGGACCGGCCGCAGCGCACCCAGCGGGACCAGGACCCACGCCCGCCCCGAGCCTGTCCACGCCTTTTGGCCGGGACTCCGCTTCTCCGCCCACCATGTAAGACCTTTTGTGATCTGACCTCCGCCTCCTTCCCCGCGCCCGGGGGAGCCTGGGCCCAGCCCCGCGGACTGCACGGGAGTGAGAGCCCCACGCGCCTGGCCGGCCCCACCCGCAGGAGGATAAATGACTGCCCCGCGAAGACGCGCGGCCCGGGCCTCAGTTTCCCCATCTGTGAAATGGGGCTGATCCGGCCGCCGGAGGGAATGAGGCGAGGGGAGGTGTTCTCGGTTTCTGGCTGTTGTGAACGCGCGTCGTGGTCGTATTTCGCGTGGCTTTTCGGCTCCGTGACGTGGAACGTGGTGTGGGCCTGACCTTGGCTACCCCGCGTCGGGGGCGGGTCCAGACCCTACGGCCCGATGGGCCCCTCCTGTCCCCCAGCCGCGGCGCGGGGAGTAACCCCGACCCCTCCCGCGTCTCGAGGCTGCCCCAGGCCGGGCCGGGAGGCCTCGTCCCCCCCTTCACCCCCCAAAGCGGGCCGGGGGCGGGAGATGCTGCGCGCCGGCCCCACCCCCGCGCGCCGGGCCTCGGCGTTGCCATGGGGACGGCGCGGTTGCCAAGGCGACCGCCTCCCGCGGGCCCCGCCATCCATCACCGGGGCGGCGGCGCTTCGGCCTGGGGAGGGGCGAGGGGGGCGCCCGGGATCGGGGAGAGGCGAGGCGGGCGCGCGGCCCGGGGAGGGGTGGGAGGGACGGGGGGGCGCCGGGGCCCGGGGAGGGGCGGGGGGGGGGGGGGGGCGCGGCCCGCGCCCTGGGCTGCTTCCCCTGCGTCTCCCGCCCGCCTGACCGTCCCCCGCCCCGGCCAGCCCGCCTGGGACCCGCTGCCCGGAGGACACAGCCGCCTTGTCTCCAGCCCGGGAGGCGACCACACAGCCGTTCCTCTGTCCCCGGTTCCCGGTCAGGCCCCCGCGGCCACCTGCCTGCCGGGTGGGGACAGGCCCTGGGCGTGCGGCGCACAGCCTGATCACGGGCCCGGGGGTCCCTCCGTTGTGTGGACTTCCCGCCCCAGCTCTGCTCCCTCCGGGGTGGCCCCGAGCCCACTTAGAGCTGGAATCCAGGACTGTGGTGTGGCCCTCCAGGGACGGCATCCAGCCAGGGGAAGAGGGTGCGGGGCAGGGGGGACCCTGTGAGAGGCCCTGGGGGGGGGCCTGGTGCAGAGTCAGGACGGCTCTCCAGGGACAGACCCACCAGGGGAGGTGAAGGGGGTCTGGGGGGTTCCTTCAAGGGCTGATGGGAGCCAGGGAGCCTCTGGAGCAGGAGAGGGACAGGGTCTGAGTGATTATTGTTATTATTTTTGAGACGGAGCCTCGCTCTGTCACCCAGGCTGGGGTGCGATGGCGCGATCTCAGCTCACGGCAGCCTCTGCCTCCTGGATGCAAGTGATTCTCCTGCTTCAGCCTCTGGAGTAGCTGGGACTGCAGGCGCCTGGCTAGTTGTTGTATTTTCAGTAGAGACAGGGTTTCACCGTGTTGGCCAGGCTGGCCTGGAACTCCTGACCTCTAGTGACCCACCCACCTCGGCCTCCCAAAGTGCTGGGATGACAGGAATGAGCCTCTGTGCCCGGCCTTCTTTTTTATTACTATTATTATTTTGAGACAAGGTCTTGCTCTGTTGCCCTGGCTGGAGCACAGTGGCACAATCTCAGTTCACTGCGGCCTCGACCCCCGGGTTCAAGGGATCCTGCCACCTCAGCCCCCCAAGGAGCTGGGACCACAGGAACACATCGCCACAGCTGGCTGTTTATTTATTTTTGTAGAGACAGGGTTTTGCTATGTTGCTTAGGCTGGTCTTGAACTTTGGGGTTCAAGCAGTCCACTGGCCTCAGCCTCCCAAAGTGCTGGGATTACAGGCATGAGCCACCACACCCCACCCAGGGTGTGATTCTCTTTTTGAGAAGCTGCCTCTGGCTGGCCAGCGGAGAGGGAGCTGTGAGGGGGCACAGACTCGGCAGGGAACACTGGAGGCCTGGGCTGGGATGGGGAACGTGAGGTGGGCAGGAAGCGAGGGCCCAGGCCTCAGGGAAAAACACGGGATGGCTTGCTGCCTGCATCACCCGGTGCTGTGGGGTTGACCCAGAATTCCAGCTGATTGGGCCATTCAGGAAGGGCACCCAAGCCAGAAAGCTGGATCAAGCCTTTCCTGAACCCCACCCAGTGAATGCAGCCTCCCTGAGGAGGGAGAAGGGGAAGCCACAGAGGGTGCGGCTGGTGCTCCCAGGCCCCTGGGAGGCACCAGGAAGGGTAGGTGTCACCTGCCAGGAAGGGAGGAGCCGGTGGGGTCACCACTGGGGCATGGGAGCCGGACAACTTCACAGGCCTCAGCAGGGTCAGGAAACTGAACCCGAGTGGGGTGGGCAGGCGGGGTGCCTCGGGCTCCAGGGAAGTCGTGACCCCGAGCGGCCTCCCAGGCCGGGGCTTGGGGCTGGCCAGTTCTCTGTTCAGTTTCAGTTTCCTTGCTGAACCGGGGAGGGAATGAGGGTGCGTCATAGCAGGGCTTGGAGCTGCAGGTATCTGTGCCTCCGTGTTTGTGTGGATGGGGAAACTGAGGTCCAGAGAGGCTCGGGGGCTCCTTGGAGGCAGGGCTGGCTCTGGGTCCTGACGGCAGGCTGAGAGGGCCGGGGGCGGTGGCAGACACAGAGGGCGGGCTGCAGTTTCAGTCTCTGGGAAGGTAAGACGCTGAGGGGCTGGGGGAATCTCCCCACACCTGCCGCAGCCCTGGTTCCCGCCAGGCCCTGCCCGTCAGCCTGGACCTCCCCGTCTTGATGCCTCCAGAGACCTGGGATCGTTCAGGACACAGGCCGGCTTCTCCGGAAATCCCCTACTTGAGTTTGGGACACCCGCCGCCAACCACCACCCTCCTCTCCCTGCCCCGTTGCACAGCCCTGGAGGCCTCAGGGTCCTTGTCCTCACCGCTGGGAAAGTCCAGGCCCACGCCCAGCGCCCGTCCAGGGCCTCCTTGCTCCTTGTGGGGTTTCTTGTTTGTCTGTTTGGGGTTTTCTTTGGTGGAGTCTCACTTTGCTGCCCTGGCTGGAATGCAGTGGCGCGATCTCAGCTCACTGCAACCTCTGCCTCCTGGGTTCAAGTGATTCTCCTGCCTCAGTTCCCCAAGTTGTTGGTTTTCAGGTGCCTGCCACCACGCCCGGCTGATTTTTGTATTTTTGGTAGAGACAGGTTCTGCCACGTTGGCCAGGCTGGTCTTTTTTTTTTTTTTGAGACGGAGTTTCGCTCTTGTTACCCAGGCTGGAGTGCAATGGCGCGATCTCGGCTCACCGCAACCTCCGCCTCCTGGGTTCAGGCAATTCTCCTGCCTCAGCCTCTTGAGTAGTTGGGATTACAGGCACGCACCACCATGCCCAGCTAATTTCTGTATTTTTAGTAGAGACAGGGTTTCACCATGTTGACCAGGATGGTCTCGATCTCTTGACCTCATGATCCACCCGCCTCGGCCTCCCAAAGTGCTGGGATTACGGGGGTCAGCCACCGCACCTGGCCTGTTCCTTGTGTTTACTAAGCACTTACTATGTGCGGCTTTCAGAGGGTTCACAGACCAGGGAGGAGGGGATGACATGGCAAACTCCTCTGGCAGGTGAGGGGGTGACCTGGACTCGGGGTGTGGACCCCGGGGCTGCAGACGGATGAGGAGGGGGGGCTTTGCACCAGCTTTTGGACCCACAGGGCGAGGTTGCTGTCGGGGGGAGTCAGAGAGTCACAGAACTTTTCAATTCCTTCCTGGGCAAGTGAGTGTGTGGTGGGTGCCTGGCAAGGGTGGTGAGGGCTTTGGTCAGGGACTGCAGGCGCCCACCACCACACCCGGCTAATTTTGTATTTTTACTAGAGATGGGGTTTCCCCACGTTGCTCAGGCTGGTCTCAAACTCCCAACCTCAGGTGACCACCTACCTCGGCCTCCCAAAGTGTTGGGATTACAGGCGTGAGCCACTGCGCCCGGCCAAGCTGCCCCTGATATTTGTTAAGCGCCTACTGTATACCAGCTCTGGGAGTTGCCCTGCGTGCACTGTGGGCTGTTCTCAAAAGACAATGATTGGGCCGGGCGCGGTGGCTCACGCCTGTGATCCCAGCACTTTGGGAGGCCGAGGCGGGTGGATCACGAGGTCAAGGGATCGAGACCATCCTGGTCAACACGGGGAAACCCCGTCTCTACTAAAAATACAAAACATTAGCTGGGCATGGTGGCGCGTGCCTGTAATCCCAGCGACTCAGGAGGCTGAGGCAGGAGAATTGCCTGAACCCAGGAGGCGGAGGTTGCGGTGAGCCGAGATCGTGCCATTGCACTCCAGCCTGGGTAACAAGAGCGAAACTCCGTCTCAAAAAAAAAAAAAAAAAATACAAATATCAGCCAGGCGTGGGTGGTACCTGTTGTCCCAGCTTCTCAGGAGGCTGAGGCAGGAGAATTGCTTGAACCTGGGAGGCGGAGGTTGCAGTGAGCTGAGATCACGCCACTGCCCTCCAGCCTGGGTGACAAGAATGAAACTCAGTTTCAAAAAAAAAAAAAAAAAGACAATGATTGGATGAGAGCGAGTCTGGGGTTGAATCCCAACTTTGCTTCTTTGCTGTGTGTCCTTGGGAGGCTTATCTCCCTCTCTGGGCTTTTGCAAGCTCAGGCTTGGAAGGTGGGGCTGGTGGGTCTTTCACCCACTCTGCGCCCCTCCTGGGCCTGGAGAGTAGGTCCTGGTGGGCAGGAGGGAGCGGAGAGGACTGTCCCGGTCCGTCTTCTGCTCTGGGCCGGGAGGTAATACACTTCCTTGTTCCTGAAACACCCCTCTGGCCTTTGATGCCTGGTGAACTCCTATGCATCCTTGGTGGCCCTCCCTCAAGGCCCCCTTCTCCCCAAACCCTTCCTGGTTGCTAGGCAGAGGCTCTTCCCCTCCTGTCCTGGCTTCCTTGGCCGGTGCCAGAGCAGGGAGGGTCCCACTTCACAGAAGGGAAACGGGTTCAAAGAGGAATGATTTGCCCTGGTTACCCCTGGGGGAAGAGGCAGACCTGGGATTCGAACCGTGCCTGACAGCAAGCAGGGCTCAGCGAACCAGAGCCTGACCTCACCTCCCCTCCCTCAGGGTCCTGTCGGCAGAGACCACGTCCCAGCAGGAGCGGCTGCAGGCCATTGCAGTGAGTTTCCGACGCCCCGCAGACAGCATGGTCGCTGTGGGGAGGTGGGGGGACCCCGGGTCTCGGGGCCCAGGCCTATCCTAGGGCCTGGAACCAGGGCTTGGGGCGTGGCGAGTTATTTGCTTGTGGATCTTGGATCCTGCTGACCTGCAGAGTCTGAAAGCAGAGACCCCTGAGTCCACGTCTCCAGGACCCCGGCCTCCCCCTGCCTGATGGGTCAGCGGAGAAACTGGGGCTGGGACCCCCTGGAGCCTTGCCGTCATCCTGCAGGAAAACGGCCTTTGGTGGTGGGAGCAGCAATGTGATTTGGTACTGTCCTGGTGGCCTCCAACTCAAGAAGACCCCCTTGGGGCCAGCCGACCTCTCCCTGTGACCACCCCTCTCTTGGGACCTGGTCCGATTCCCGGGTTCAGGCGATTCTCCTGCCTCAGCCTCTCCAGTAGATGGGATTAGAGGCGCCCACCACCACGCCCGGCGAATTTCTGTATTTTTAGTAGAGATGGAATTTTGCCATGTTGTCCAGGCTGGTCTTGAACTCCTGAACTCAGGTGATTCTCCCGCCTCGGCCCCCCAAAGTGCTGGGATGACAGGCGTGAGCCACCGCGCCCGGCCAGTCATTCATTTTTGAGACAGTCTCCCAGGAGGGCAGTGGTCTACCCGCTGTCGTCTGGGAGCCAGTGGGCCACGCAGACAGGCAGGGTCAGGCCAGGCAGAGCCTCCCGAGGGTGTGGGGGGATCTCAGGGTCCTGCACGCCTGGCCCCAGCCCTGCCTGGCTCTCCCCACAGGAGAAGCGGAAGCGGCAGGCGGAGATTGAGAACAAGCGTCGGCAGCTGGAGGACGAGCGGAGGCAGCTGCAGCACCTGAAGGTGTGGGTGGGGCCGGGACCCGGGGCGGGGAGGGGGGGCAGGGGCCACCTTTCCCTAGGACCCGGGGCCGGGGGGCGGAGGCCACCTTTCCCTAGGACCCAGGGCCG